ATGTTGTTTAATATTAAAGCTTAAAATGAGCATAAAAAACTAGGCAAATTTTTTCTTATAAAAGCAAAAATCTAAACATGAACTGTTTTAATAAAGGTGAGCTTTTAAATCAAAATCCTTTCCATGTTTAATTCTTTGCAAAAAAACAACTTGTTTTAATGACTTAAAGCCTGTTTGGTTTATTTTATTTTATTTTTTACTAAGCTTCACGTTCTTATTATTTTAAACAACTTAATAGAATAAATTGTTTTGTAGCAGTTTTCCAAAAAGTTCACCTGTATGCTGGGAATTTGGATAAACAAAATGGCCAAGAAGCCACAAGCTCCTAGAATTAACTGATCAATATATTTCATTCAGTGTCTTAGTTTCATTTTTGTCAGATGTTTCATTCTTGTTTGCAAATCAGACGTGAAAACMTCCCAAATCGGTCCCTGCAACAGAACGCTGGTGCAATGAAGCCAAAGAGCTTTATACCTGCATGCTGCAGGATCCTGTTCTTATAAAGTGTCTGATGTGTTACAAGCTTTTTAAAGGGTTAAACCTAAATGCAAATCATTCTGCAAAACCTCTTCTGGTGTTTTTTTTTTTTTCAATTCTAACAGTGTGAGATTTTTGCTGTTGCTGCTCCTCTTCCAGCTGTGGTAAATACTTCTTCTGTTTTCCTCTGGAAGGTGTGCACATCTGTGTGATCAWGTCAGTGAGTTCTGGTAGAAAACAACTCATTTCTATTCAAATGAGGCAGTCATGATAGCCACAGATTTGATGTAAAACCTGACTGAAGCCTGAGGAGTTCATTGAAATTCTAAACTATATCTTCATGTCATCTCAATTCCATAGTCATGAAGAATAAAACAGCCAAATTTAATAGTGCAATAATTTCAGTTAGATTTTCAGCAAAAACAGCCTTATATTTTTTACATCACTTCTAGCAGATTGTAAGAAAACTGACAAAAGAGAATAATCAGAGACTATTCTCTGCATCGATTGACCTTCCTAATGAGAAAATCTATTTAAAAAGAAAAAAAACAACCTGAAGCCGGTATTGTACTGAACAAAAACAGCTGCACACAAAAGAGCAGGAGAGGCTCAAGTTTTTATTGTATCAGCCTACAAGGTCCTACAGCGTCCCTGAAAACAAAAGAACTAATTCAATAGTAACAACTCATAATGATCAAGAAAAAAAGGATTTTTTTCCTTTTTATCTGTGAGATGTGTTAAGGGAGAAATAATTAAATAGGCACAGTGTTGAAGAAAAGAAAAACCCCAAAAAACAAATCATTGAGRTGAAAAGGTATAAGAGACAGTTTGCGTCATTTTCCTTATCTAAAATTCGAAACATAGCGTTTTCCAAGTTATGGGTAAGACTCGCCTTTTTGTGTTGGTAGTTTCCGTTTGCACCTCTGTGGTACATTTGGATGATTCCAGAAAATCATGTATTAGGAAAGCACAGTTTTGGATTTAACATAGCTGATTGTCAGGCTCACTTTGGTTAATTTTTGATCTGTTGGAGAGTTTCGTTAAAATCCATCCAGATGTTCGTGAGATTTTTTTTGTGCCCTTTCACCTTTGGTATTAAAAGCCAAAGAGCTAACCGTCCTTTATGTTTAAATTCCACTTRACCGTTTTGTACTAACCCTACCCACACGCCCCTCTGTCAGTGCCCCAGAGTGACAGTGACACATGAGGCTGACAGCTCCGAGCCGAGGTGAGGCTCAGGTTACAGAGCTCTGAATCTGCTTTCTCATTCTGCTCCGACAGACGTCACAGTCCAAACGTTGTTCTCGTTAACAGAACCATCAAACAAATACGTTGATGATGTCACGTCTTTATCAGAGTCTGTTACTGATTTGGCCACAGGTCTGCTGTGGAGCGAAGGACGCAACGGTAAGCGAGGCTGAACACGCCGTTAATGAAACTATAAAATATTCTTTCCCTGTATGGACTTTGGTCAGCAGCTTTATTGTTTCACCCTTTGTGATTAAGTGTTTGCAGCACCTGAGATATAGAGGCACAACAGGACATCTAGTATTAATAAAGAAGGGAATAACAGCTGACCTTGGTGGGAAGTAAAAAGAAACAGCAGTGCATTAGGTGGCAAGATGGTATAGAAATTTAGAGCAAATATCAATCAGAAGTCATAAGTGATGTTCAATTATAGTAATTATTACTTTGACGTCATCAGACATCTTTATTGCAACCACATAACAGCCCAAATAAAATGAAACTCATTACAGGGACACAATTATATTCAAAACCTAATAGCAGGAAGGGGAATCTTGGCTAT